AGGGCATGAAGTTCCAACCCGCTGACCACTCTGGCCAGGGCCCACCCCATACTCTTCTTGCCTGAGTAGCCCTCTGCAACATGCGTGGACCACATGGAGCCGGCCATGCGGTCAATCTTGCCTCGTCACCATCTCACCCCTGCCAGCACCTCCTAGCTCCCCCTTTTCCTTGCCCAGGTTGAACTCTGGGATCTATCTTTGTAATCACCTTGAGACCATCTTCCCCTCCTCTGCCCCCTCCCTCTGGAGCTCCTGCTGGCTACACCAATCCTGTTAAACCCTGTGCCCACCCCCTCGGTTACTGCACCCAGATGGCTCAGCATTGTAGCCACAGCCCTGCGGCCAGGCTGACGCTGCACTTTAAATTCATGACAAATCCTCCCGCACATTGTCAACACTGCTAGAAAGTCCTTCATTTTCCCAGGAAGGCCTCTTTCTGGGCCTCAGTCTCATGCCTACGCCCTGTCATTTCACACCAAACCTACTTCCATTCTCTCAGTTGCTTAGGACACCCACTAAGGGACCTCACTCCTCTCCCTCACTAAGGCTGTGAATGTCCCTACGTCTGCACCAGGGGGCCTATGACCCCTCCTCCGGGGGATACTAGGCAACGTCTGCAGACACCTTGGGGTGTTACAACTTGATGGCAGGGGGTGCTACTGCAAGCTTATGGGTAGCGCCTAGGAAAGCTGCTGAATGTTCCGCAGTGTGTAGGCAGCCCTGCCGCAGGCACCCAGCCACGGGTGTCCGTGGTGCCAGTGTTCAGCAGGGAACGCTGATCTGTGTGGGCTGTCCTTGTGCATACCTGACTGGATACACCCACGGGAGTGGCAGAGCTCAGCAGGTGTCCGGGGGCTCTTGCATTTCACCGGGGTGGGGTTGGGACAGTTCACTGTGCAAGGCAGCCCCATGCACTGCGGGATATTCAAGATCCCTGCCCCTGACGGCTGAATGCAAGTCGAGCCCCCAGCCCAGTTGTTGTGACACTAAAGAAGCTCCATAGATTTCCAGTTGCTTTTTTTAATGGTTTTTAATGTGTTTATCAAAGTAATACATTTTATTTTTTTATATTTTTAATTTCTCTTTATTGTTGAAAGTATTACAAATGTCCCATTTTTTTCCCATTGACCCACTCTGCCCCCTCCTACCCCCTCCTGAGACCTTCACCACACTATTGTCTGTGTCCGTGGTTATGCAAATAAGCATATAAATTCTTTGGTTAATTGCTCCCCACCCCTCCCCCACTCCCGCCTTCCCTGAGGTCCCTCAGTCTGCTCCATGCTTCTGTGTCTCTGTGTCTATTTTGTTCGTCAGTTTATTTTGTTCATTAGATCCCACATCTGAGTGAGGTCATGTGATACTTGTCTTTCTCTGACTGGCTTATTTCGCTCAGCATAATTCTCTCCAGGTCCCTGGGGAAGAAACCTCTCCAGTTTGAGAAGAGCCCTGGCCTGAGGTGCACGGGGGAGGGGACCTGGCCTGGCCCCAATAATCAAGCTCATTAAAGTGCTTTCCTAAACAAAAGAGCAGCTCTCCCACTACCACCCCCTCGACCCCAACCACACACAGATGCCCAAACTCAGAACCAGCTGCAGTCCGTCATTGTTTCTTTAATAGAGCATATTTTTCTGGCTCCATTTGGAGCCAAGGAATGGAGTTAAGCTAGAGTCAGAGATAAGGAAACGGCAGGCGGTGTTCAAATTGGGAAGCTATGCCCAAATGAGAGCAAGGGATGCAGACAGACTTGGGGGAGGGTCAGGTAGGGGAGGGATCTCCCTTTGTGCCAGTGCTGCTCACATCCCCAGTCTGGGGATGGACCCGTGGGCCCAACGGATTTCAAACTTTGCACCACTAAGGCCTCTTTCATTATTTTTCTCTATAGCATTTTAAAAATAATTTATCCCCATTTTTATTACTTGAAAAAATTAGATAGATGGATAGATAGATGATAGATAGACAGATGATAGATCGATGAATGATTGATAGACAGATAGACAGATGATAGGTATATACAAACCAGAGCTTCTTATCAGCATGCTATAAATATGTTTACCTCACTGATTCCAAAATAATTCAATCCCAGCCAAACTTAATGTTTTTAGGTGGTGTCAAGACTGTGAAGAATCTAAGCTTTTATCCTATTGGCAAACAAGTTAGCCTCGTTAGTCGTAACTAACATGTTAGCCTGCCACAGTCCAAGGATGCTGCCTTCCCCAGTGTCTGCTTCACCCTAAGGGTGGCCTGCTTGTGGTCCAGTGCGGTGCCAGCACCTTCCCTGTTTGTGTCCAGCAAAAGCGAGCGCCTGTCTAGGTAGACGCCAAGGAGAGCAAGGGGGCTGCTATCCCAGAGGTCCCAGCGTGCAGCTTCCTGAGCCTCCACGACCAGCGTTGCCCTTGTGCTAATCCCTGAGCCCATCGCTATGCCAAGGAGCAGAGTATGCTGTGAGGTTTGGGTGACCCCAGCCCTCAGGGCCTGGGACAGGCTAGGGTTCCCTGAGCTGTGTGATGGAGAAGTGGACGCCTAAAGAAGACTCCACGAGGAGGGCCTCTCTTCGCCCAATGGGCCCTCCTAAGTCAAAGGCCACTGGTCAGGGTCCCCAGGGGAAGCGGTGTCCTCCGTCCTGGTTGCCGTTGCCTTTACTGACCATTTGTGAAACAGCCCCTTGGGTACCCTCGGGTATGTCGCACCCACATAATTAAGGGTGGGACTGAAGTCCAACTACCTTCTAAAGGCACTAGTTCCCTAGTGCTGCTGAAACAAAGGGCCACAACTTAGTAGCTTAAAACAACTCAAATTAATTATGTTACAGTCTGGAGGTCAGAAGTCCAAACAGGCCTCACTAGGTAAAAACCAACGTATGGGCAGGACCGCGCTCCTTTCTAGGGCAGAATCCGTCTTCTTGTCTTTTCCAGCTTCCGAAGGTTGCCTGCATTCCTTGCTTGCGCCCCTTCCACCTTCAAAGCCAGCGTTGGCATTGGCCTCTCACACCCCGTCCCGCCCGCAGGCTCTCCGGCTGCCCTCTCCTGCTGTGAAGGACCCTTGTGAATGCTTTGGGCCCAGGGGTAATCCAGGATGATCTCCCGATCCCAAACTAGCTAATTAGCTACCGTGTCACCTCAGTTTCCCTCTTCCACAGGTAACACGGTCGCGGGCTCCAGAGTTTAGGGTGGGGACATCTTGGGGGCACCGTCATGTCTACCACAGGTGGGAAGGAAGTGACCCTGAGTTTAGCTGGGTTGCCCACTGTGTAAATGAAGTTTTCTGTTTACTTATTTAAATATAGAATCTTTTTCTGGTGTATGTGAGCACCACTGGTAGAGAAACAGATGCTTCCCGTGTACAGTTATTCTTTATTCTGTAACGTCTCGCTTTTTGAACGCTAATTTCATTGCTTTCACAACAGAGCAATTCAGTGAAGAAGTAAACTGGGCACAGCTGACGCCAGTCTGCTTAGTGCACGTACTTTCATTCCGTTCACTATTTTCGGTAGTTTTTTCTGTCTCGGGTTTTTTATAGTTCTTATGTGGGTCGCATCCCATCATTCTCTCATCTTAGCTCACAAGAAAAATCCTCAGTTCCGCAGCTACACTTCTGGAATGTCAAAAACACAGCAGACGACGGCATTTTCAAAGAGGACAAGACGTTCTCACATGAAGCGACTTACTTAACGAGGTGGCCACGTCCTCAGGTTCCCTTGTTACAACTCAGCAGGATGTGTAACTTCCAGGCAGGTGAAAACAAGCCCTTAAGTATAAGCAAAGCAGGTGCTTTGCCTGGCAGAGGACCTTTCTCGGGACTCTCACAATACAAGGGTGAGAGTGAGTTTTAATGAGTCGTGCGTCCCAGCAGCCCGTTTATAACGTGCACCGTCCGTGCAAAGGTCTGTCAGCGTCCACTTGGCCAACCGCGTCACGAGTCCCCAAGACCACCCTCATATTTCACTTAAAAATGAATACGTATTTTCCATTCTTCTGTGCACTATGCCCTTGTTACATTTATTGAAAAATAATCTTTTAAATACAGCAGTCCCCAGTTCCTAGGGTAATGTGTTCCAAGACTTCAGGGGACGCCTGAGGCTGCAACAGAGCCTGAAGCCACAGATAATATGGAACTGAGAGGGCTACCTAGCAGGAGGGGCACACAGCATGGGGCCACTGGACAAAGGGATGAGTCACATCCAGAGCGGGACAGAGCAGGAAAGTGCGAGATGTCATTATGTTACTCATACACTTGCACTTTAAAACCCATGATCGATTGATTTCTGGAATTTCCCATTTAATATTTTCAGACCATGGTTGGCCATCGGTAACTGAAGCCACAGAGGGTAAAACTGTGGATGGAGGGATGACTATGCTTCTGAGGAAAAGGGACACTCTGAAAACCATGGCAAGGAGTGGAGAGTGCGCCAGGACCAGGGGTGCTCTTACCTGGGGTTTGGACACCACGGGGCTGAGAGGCCCTGGAGACTGAGTTTTATGGGTGAGGTGGGGGAACCTCAGATGGCTGAGGGCTGGTGGGTCACAGCTTGTGGAGCCTCCAAGCTGGGGCAGGGTCAGCCGCCATTAACTTCATGGTGATGTTGGGCACGTCACATAAACCATCTAAGGCACAATCCCTTCATCTGTAACAGGGGACAAGTATAGCACCTCCCTTTGGCCATGGCCTCCAACCCCTGCTCCCCCGAGGAGGCCCTAGTCCAGTGCACAGTAGCCAACCTTGACCCTCCGCTTCCCGAGGGGCCTGGGCCTCTGTGCAGGCCCCTCGCTCCCAAGGCAGCGGCAGAGGGGCCCTTTGCCTCCCCGCCAGGAGAAGCTTCACGCTGCCGACTCCTCACAGCCAGGGCAGCTGCTCCAGTGGCCCAGGCCAGAATCAAGGGACGTTTAACAATCGGAATCTCTGGTTTTATTTTATTTTGTCTTCAATTTCTAATAAAATCCTTAGTATTCCCAGGTGATGTTGTGTCATTGTTTTAACATATGAAAAATGTCCTTTGGATGCAGAAAAAATATCGTGGAGCCAGAGGAGCCCCAATGCTCCCGGTTAACACTCACCTGCCAGGTGACTGCAGTGTCTTCAGAAGAAGTAGAGTTTGCCAAACAAGCCATGTGTTCAAGGTTTGTAAGCGCTTTCACGTTGGTTTGCCCAGAAATGCATAGCAGTAAGGAGCAGAGGTCTGAGCTGCCCTCGGGAGGCAGTGTGGCCACCCACACACTGGCTGTCTCAGTGTGTTTTCCAGTTTGCACTTGGACTTTGGATTGTTTACAAGATTTTTAGATATAAACAAAATTTATATTTTTATGAAGTTTTTAAAAAGTGAGCCACAGCCCTCGCCTTAAGGATGTGTGTGTAGGACCGTACATGGGGGAAGCCAAGTCAGTAAACAGCAGAAGGAGGAGGGGGGCGGCCATGCCCACGCGGCTGCAGGAACGGAAACCTTCCCATGAGCGGACTTGTCTCACGGCTCCCACTTCTTTCCACATTGCGTCCAGAGATGCATGAAGCCTTTCTCCTGCCTCCTGACGCAGTCGCTGAGCACTCCCTCTACGCAGGTGCTTTAGGTGGGCCTAGCTGTTTGCTCCCCGGAGCCCTGGGGTTTCAGCACCATTGCTGTCATCCCACATGGCAGGGAAGGGGACCAGGGCTTGAGAGGGCAAACCACCCACCACACATCACAGCTCATCAGCAGTCAAACTGGGATTCAAACCAAGGGGCCTGGCTCCGGAGTTGAGCTGTTTGCCACCCTAGGGAAGGACAGTTTCCTGCGTTCCTAAGGCTGTCCCAGACCCCGTCCTTGGCCCCCTGGCTTCTGCCCCTGGCTGGTGTGAGCAGGTCTCAGACCAAATGAGGTCTGAAGTCTGAGGGCCGTGTGACCTGGCCAAGCACACTGGAGTCCTGACTGGTGCTCCGAGAGGCTGCAGCCTCTGGTAAGAGCAGCTTCGTCACCCTCTCTCCCCTTCGCTCTCACAGGCACCTGGTTATGAGGAAGCGGCCTCATCAACACAAGTGGTTCCTTATGAAGATGAAGGTAGAACATGTCTGGCTTCAAAAGTGGTGTGGAGGAGTACTGGGCATGTCGAGGGAGGGATATTTCAAAGCCGCTCCAGGGAGGACCTGATGACCTGAGAAGAAGCCTCCGTGTTTGCAAAAAATGAAATCTTAGGAGTGATGTCACCAGACAGCTGCTGACTGCTGTCTCTTTGTGGAAGGTTCACAGCAGTCCAGCAGAGTGGGAGCGTGGCCAGGGAACCCTGTGCCAAGCCTGCAGATTAAGGCCTTTTGCAAATCCCGGACTCACATGGACTGTCCTTGCTTGTGTTGTGGTCAACCAGACTCACCTACTTGGGGATCATTGCTGGTTGTCAAAGTGATATGTCGAGACAGTCGCTGTTACATTCTTTAAGACAAGACAAGGCCTGTATGTACAACGTGATGGCTTTGGGTTGTGAGAGCAGTTTTGTTGCTTGCTGTGCCAAAAACTGTGCCTTGGTTCTAAGCTCACAGCAGCCACAAAGGAACTACACATGCATCCCGCAGCCATGGTCTCGTGCCTGCAGTGAGGATGCAGGGCTGTTTGTCTACAGATTCCTCATCATGCTACTGGATTGCAAATGCATTATTAAGCCACACTTGCTAGAATGTATTGGTCACTTAGGAAACTTTTTGCCCCACTGTAGTGTGATGAGCCGCGTGAGGACACATGGAGCTTTGCACACAGCCCTACCCTACGAAACAGGCCATAGAGGTACATTAGTGAGGAGGGGCAGCTTCGGCAGCAAGCTCCCTGGATCCCCACTGCTAATGCTTCTGACAGAGGGTTCCCTTCTCTTAGGCACTAGGGATGAAATCCAAAATAAAAAAGCACCTTATTCTGTGTTGCACAGGAGGAGAAGGTGCACCTGGGAAGGAAGCAAAGGCAACATGTAGGAGGAAGAAGGAAAGAAGTCAGTAACTGCAAGCATGCTCCTTGCCCGGCCTCGCCAGGCCCTTGACAGGTTCGTCTCATTTAAGCCCTACAACAGTGAGATGCGTATTATCATTGCCACTTAACAGACAAGAAACCTGAGGCTCAGAGAGGCTAAGTCAACATCCTGAGGGCTGACTGCAGACCTCACCAATCACAGTGAACAGAGTGGAACCTAGCAGGTTCCCAGCTTTAAGAACAGGAGTTGCTGAAGTGCACAGGTAGTCACTGAACCAGGAAAATCGGCGAAATGATGACTAACCTGCCAGTGGATGATTGGACTCTGCTTTCAGGAAAAAAAATTAAAGGTGTCTGGGGGGACTCTGAAATTTGATTCTTTTTAAAAAATATATCTTTATTGATTTGAGAGACAGGAAAGGAGAGGGAGAGGCAGACAGAAATATCAATGATGAGAGAGTCATTGGGAATCGAACCTTGATCTCCTGGATCCTAGGTTGATGCTCAACCACTGAGCCACCCCCAGCCGGTGAAATTTGATTCTTGCTACAAATTTTAAATTTTCTACAAATTATATGCAGGAGCACTTGGTGTTTGCAAGAAACTACATTGTACCTATGTACACATCTAAGGCCTACATGGACCTGTGTGTACACATCTAAGACCTCTTATATTGGCATCGAAAAAGCATCTAGCAGTACCCAGTTTTCTGTCTTTCTACAATGGCTATAAACTGTTTTGGTGGGTTAGGTATGTTGTATAAAATAAAACATCACATCACTCTATATGTGAAATATACATTTTTTAAGTAAATAAAAGTGTTATTAATGGTTACACTTTTCTTTACAAAATTGAGACATGAAGAGAGTTTGAGTTCCCCAAATATTTTTAAGTGCTTATTAATAAAAGCATAGCAAAATGCCCAGAATTCTCTATCAAAAGCCAGTTCTCAAGAATTCGTAACAATAGCAATTTTAATATATAAGAATAAGGTAACTGAGAATATTTCATATTTTTAGAGTTTAAAATTATTGCTAACCCCATTTAAGAGGTAAGAAGCAAAAACTGGAAAAACAAACCATGTACTCCACAAGTCAACCTCAAAGCTGTATTCTTTGACTATCACTGCCTCCTGGTCCTGTCCTATGGATAATATTCCTGTGCTAGGTTTGCTTTTATAATCAGGTTCCACTTAGCTCATAAAGGTCACTCTGTTGGCTCAAGGGGCTTTGCAGTGTGGGTACCATTAATAACCCCTGAGGAATGTTAACAGTTAATTATCCAAATAACAGGAAATTAAACCTGAACAGGTTTGATGATTAAGAAGAAGGTTGAAAATTTATATTCATTTAAAATTTTTTTTCTTGCCTTATTGCTATGTCTAGAACTTCCTATATAGCCTTTAAAATTTTCATCAACGTAAATTTCTGAAGATTTTCCAAAACTGTTTGAGGCAAGGGCCCATCAGCCTCAAACAGATGCATTTTCTTTCTCTTTAAATCTTTATAATTGAGAGTATTAGAGATGCCCCCCCCTTTTTCCCTCTTGTCCCCCACCACCCAAGCCTTCACTGCATTATTGTCTGTGTTCATGGGCAATGCATATATGCATATAAGTTCTTTGGTAAATGTCTTCCTGTCTCCCTCCCCCCTTCCCTCTGAGATTTGCCAGTCTCTTCCATGTTCTAAAGAATATATATATATATATACCTCCCAGAACTAGTTAAGTGAGTTCATCAAGGTCTCAGGATATGAGATCATCACTCAAAATATAATTGTATTTCTATATATTAACAATGAACAAAGTGGAGACCAAAATTAAAAACGCAATACCATTTACAATCACTCCAAAGAAAATACTTAGGTATAAATTTAACAAAACATGTACAGAATCTATATGCTGAACATTGAAAGAAGCTAATGAAAGAAATCAAAGATCTAAATAAATGAAGAAACATACCATGTTCATAACATACCATGTTCATGGTTTGGAAGAAACCAAATAGTAAAGATACCAATTCTCCTCAGATTCATCTATAGGTTTAATGCAATTTCTATAAAAATCCTGGCAAGGTTTTTGTATGCATAATCAAACTTATTCTAAAAGGTCCAAGGCAGAAGCTTTGAAATAGCTAAAAGAACCTTCTTGAGGAAGAGTGAGTGGGAGAAATTATTCCACCCAATATAAATACTTATTATGTAGCCACAGTAATCAAGACAACTGGGTATTGGTTGGAGCATAGACACACAGATCAATGGAACAGAATAGAGAATCTAGGAATAGATCTGTACAAATATGCTCAATTCACTTTTTTATTTAAATCTTTGTTGTTAAGAGTATTACAGATGCCCCCCCCCCCCTTCTTCCCATTGCCCCCTTGCACTGGGTTCCCATTGTGCCCCAGGCTTTTATCACACTATATGAAAAAGTACCTATGTTAAATGGATCAGGAAAGAATTATTCTTCATAAGGATTAGCTGCAGATGNCCCCAGGCCTTCACCACCCTATTGTCTGTGTCCACGGGTAATGCATGTATGCCTATGAATTCTTTGGTTAATCTTTTCTTACCCACATCCCCCCCTTCCCTCTGAGATTTGTTCGTCTGTTCCATGTTTCCATGCCTCTGGTTCTATTTTATTCATCAGTTTATTTTGTTCATTAGATTCCTTGTTCATTTATTTTTATTTTCAGATTTAATTGTTGATGGATATGTATTTATTACCATTTTATTGTTCACATTTTTAATCTTTTTTTCAACCTTCATCTTCTTCTTAAAGAGGACCCTTTAATACTTCATGTAACATTGGCTTGGTGGTGATGAACTCCTTTAGCTTTTTTTGTCTGGGAGGTGGGGGAAGCTCTTTGTCTGACCTTCAATTCTAAAAGATAGCTTTGCTGGGGAGTAATATTGGTCATAGGTCCTTGCTTTTGATCACTTTGAATATTTCTTGCCACTCCCTTCTGGCCTGCAAAGTTTCTGTTGAGAACTCATCTGACAGTCATATGTGCACCCCCTTGTAGGTAACTAATAGCTTTTCTCTTGCTGCTTTGAAGATTCTCTCACTATCTTTAACCTTTGGCATTTTAACTATGATGTGTCTTGGTGTGGGCCTCTTTGGGTTCCTCTTGTTTGGGACTCTCTGTGCTTCCTGGACTTGTATGACTATTTCACCAGGTAAGAGGAGTTTTCTGTGATTATTTTTTCAAATATGTTTTCAATTTCTTGCTCTCTCTTTTCTGCTTCTGATACCCCCATGATGTGAATGTTGGTGTACTTGAAGTTGTCCCAGAGACTCCTTACACTGTCTTCATATTTTGGGATTCCTTTTTCTTTTTGCCGTTCTGATTGAGTGTTCTTTGCTTCCTCATATTTCATATCACTGATTTGATTCTTGGTGACTTCTATTCTACCGTTGATTCCCTGTAAATTATTCTTTATTGCAGTTAGTGTGTCCTTCATTTCTGACTAGTCCTTTTTTATGTCATTGATGTTCTCACTAAGTTCCTTGAAGCTCTCACTTTCTTGAATTTCTAATTAAGTTCCTTGAGCATCCATATAAGCATTGTTTTAAACTCTGTATCTAGTAGTTTTCTTGCTTACATTTCAATTAGTTCTCTTTCTGGAGATTTCTTCTATTCTTTCCTTTGTGACATGTTTCTTTGTGTCCACATTTTGGTTACTTCCCTGTGTTTGTTTCTATTTATTAGGTAGAGCTGCTATGTCTCCTGGAATCTGTAGAGTGGCTTTGTGTAGTAGGTGTCTTGTAGGGCCCAGTGGCTCAGTCCCTGCAGTCAACTGAGCTGGGCACTCTGGGTATGCCCTTCTGTGGGCTGTGTGTGCTGTCTTGTTGTAGTTGAGCCTTGACTGTTGGAGTCACTGGGAGGGATTGACCCCAAGGCCCACTGGCTGTGCAGACCAGCTGCGACTGCAGTAGAAGAGCTGCTGTGCAGGAAACGCCCCTATGGAATAGGATTTACTTTAGTGGGGTTTTGGTGTTCACCGAGTCCGCCCCTTGAGTGTGTGTCACTTGTGGATGTGGTAGGGTTTTAATCTGGCATGGTCTGAAGCTTACCACAGAGTGCACATGCTTTGGCGCTTCTGGGAGGTGCAAAGTCAGCCATTGCCTGCCTGCACCCTGCCTGGGGCCACATGGCATGAGCTACAGAGTGATCTGCTGATGGTTGCTACTTGTGC